CTGTGTGGCTCACCCACGCCGGCAAGCTGGAGGGTGACCGGGACAGGCGAGGCCTCGGAACCATGAGGCAGGAGTAGGTGAAGCCCCCAGCCACGGGGCGCTGGAGAGTAGGCTGGACAGTGACTTGAGGGGGCAGGAAGGCAGGCCGGAGTTGACTCACTGACCTTGATAACCTCCACCTTCCCAGGGGGTGCCGTCCGATGCAGAGCATAGGATCCTGCAGAGCAACTGGCCGGAGTGGCAAGGGTTCTCTCCTGGCTACGGGCTGGGAGCAGTACGTACAAGGTCTCTAACATGGAATGTGTTTTTCTGATTCCTTTGCACGTAGCCGCAGAGAAGAACAGTGTCCCTTCTGGAGGCTTTGCACCTTGGCCAAGCTGAGAGGGAGCTTGTCTGTATAACCAGGATATAGAGAAACCACTGAGCATCCGCCCCTCCTCTGGTTCTTCTGGACACACGGCCTGCCCCCCGAGCGGCACAGAGCCACTGAACTTAGAGCGGAGATTCGTGGAGGGGGCTCCGCTGGGAGTGTCTCCATTCGGGCTGGTTTTCAGAAGAGATTAGAGGAGTAAAATGTTCCATGTTTAAAGAGCATTCTCTGGCCAGCGTGCAGCATGCCACAGAGTCTGTCTAGACGTGTGGGACTTCACCTTGGCCTTGTTCAAGATCGTCCAAAGGCACAGGTGGCCCCACTGAATGCAGGAATGTCCTTGGTGGGTGGACCCTGGGGAGCTGCCGGTGGCCGTGTGGAATCGTACGTGTCTCTGCTCTTCGGCACCGTCCCTGACACTTAGTTCTGCCTCGCAGCCGCTTCCGAGCGTCGGGGGTCTGCCGCCGGGAGCTTCGCATCTGTGTTGTGTCCCCATGTCTGTCCATGGCAGAGCACCGGTTTCTAAAGTGGGGTCCCCGGGCAGGTGGGGGCTGTTTTAACTTCTCTCAGACCCAGTCCCCAGAGCATCTGTAACGCAGCGCTTAGTAGCCGGCACAGGGAGAATGATACCTCCCCTCCCCCAGCTGTGCATACAGGGACTCTCTGAGTCAGACCGAACGGAGCCTTGCTCGCTGGCCCTGGGACAGTCCGACCCCGGAGACCCAATTACTGTGTCGGATCTGACTTTCTGGACGTGGGGTAGGCCGCGGCGAGCTTTAGTAGCAAGAGCAATCACGACCCCGCAGCCCCTCCAGGTGCCTCACTGGCAGCCCTGCAGTGTCACGTGTCACGTGTCTGAGGAGCGCCTGCCTGGTCCAGTATGGCCACAGGCCGTGGAAGTACAGCCCTCTCAGAGCAGGCGGGGGGCCACAGGGATCAGAATGGGGCGGTTGTCCCCCGAAGGCAAACGTCCCCTAGGGAGAGGGAGAGTGGAGGTGGCCGCTTCCTCCTGGCTGGGGACCGTGAACATGAACTTGGGAGAACACGCCTGGTTTTCTACTCCACTGGCCGCAGAGGCCCTTGTTTGCAATGTTTCTCGTGCGTGGGTTTAAGCTCCCAGGGGTTTGGCGTTCTCTCTCCAGTAATTAAACGTTCTTTCCTGCGCCCTCCTCCGTCGTAAAATACCACTCCCGCTCCAATTTATTACAGCCGTTAAGATCTGAACTTCAGTGGAAGGACGGTTGGAGCCCTCCATACTTTTTCTCATTTATGACCTGGGGCTGCACTTCTCTTCAGCTGGTTTTATTTTCCTCCTCGGGGGAAAAGCAGTCACTACAGTTGTTTAGTTTTTGGTTCTATTATTCAACCTTTCAGAGTTATTCCTTCCCCCGCTTCACTCTCGAGGGTCCACTCTGACCCTGAAGGCGACTGGCACAGAGTCCGTGGTACGTTATCACTTGGATGAGACTTCGCTTGTGGGAGCTCATTGTTTCTTTTTCTGATGCAATAGACATCTTGATAAACTTGTAGCATTTGTATGTTAAATTTTTAATTCAATTTGGTATGAGAAACGGTTATGCCGTCCTCCTCACTGTTCACCCTCTCGCCTGCTCGCCCTGGACCGTGGGCACCGACAGACACTTTCTAGACTCCCTCACCATGGAGCAGCTCGCCGAGGCCACAGTGTCAGACTCTGGGGTGGGGAGGGGCCCCCATCCAGAGACCTAGGTTCCAGTGCAAGTTACTAGTCTTTCTGAAACTCGGTTTCCTCCATCTGTAAAATGAGACATCGGGTTAGTTCCGTGCCTAGTAGGAGCCATTCATTCATACAAGTGGTTTCAGGATCGGTAACAGTCAGAGCAGCAGTTACTGAGCTGCTCTTACCTGCTTCTCACTGTGCCGGGTACCAGCTGGGACCCGTGAGGCGGGGTGAGCAGGCCAACCAGCACGCGGGTCCTTCTGGCAGGTGGACAGCGCAGCGAGAAGTACGTGCGAGAGAAGCTGTAGGAGCTGTAGGAGCGCAGCACGAGCCCACCAGTTTTTTCCAGTTCTTCAAAAATTCGGCTAAGTGAAGTAAGCCAAGTGGTGAAAGACAAATACCATACGATCTCAGCTCTAAGTGGAATCTAATCAAGAAAACAAACAAGCGAGCAAAACAGAACCAAGGACACTGACATAAAGAACAAACTGACAGTGACGGGGGGGGGGGGGATGGGGAAAGAGGTGGAAGGGACAAGCAGAGGAACGACTGTGAAGGACCCGTGGACATGGACAACCGGGGAGAGGGGAGCGGGCCGGCAAGGGAGAGTAATGGGCGGAAATGGGGATACCTGGAATTGAACAACAATAAAAAATTTTTAAAAACTTTTAAAAATCAAGTGCAATGTCTACATTTGCTCCAACTAAAATACCTCATTTCTTTCTGGTAGCCGGACAAATGTCAACCCAGTGTGGCCAGATTGGTCCCCCGACGGATGCCGACCCCAAGTCCGGGTTGGTAGGTTGTTGGCAGGTCGTTGCACAGTGTGCAGCCGGCCCCCAAACCAACATTGTGGTTCGTGCTGTGGCTCACAGACGGGTGTTGTTACCAATGTGCGCCATCTGGAAACTTTCTAGTTCAGCGCTTCATTCTTGCTAACTAGACGCCAAGCCTTTAAAATTATTACTTCAGATTTATGTGGCTCTCAGCACTCATGCCCTGGGGCGGAGAGTCCTGGTCACCCTGCCCTCGCTGCAGCCCCACGTGTGGCTGAAAACGAGGAAACGCAGGACCACGCAGAGCTGTTTGTGACATCGGCCCACATCTCCAAACACGAGGCCCGTGAACTGAAAGGCAGACAAGACCGGGTCGCAAGACCGGGTGTTTCCAGGTCCCGAACGTGGCTGGTTTCCCACAGGCCTGCAGTGCCCGGGGCTTGGCGCACAGAGGACCCGGGAGAGTAGTTCAGTCGGAAGCTTGCCAGTGGACCCCCAATGCTGCAGCGACCGCCTCCGCCTGCTCACATCCTTCCGAGAGGCCAGGCCACGACCAAGGGCTAGAGCAATGCCAAACGCGTGTGCGAACCGAGCCCGGGGCTCCGGAACATCCTCTTCGCGTTTCCAAAGACCTGTTTTGTGAATCAAAACCTCCGCAGACACACCCACGGGGGCTGTCGGCCCTGTGAATGGTGCCTGCGGTTTTCATCATATCTTCCGACGTTAATAAATGTCTTGCTTTCTTCTGTCTTTCAATTTCTGCTGTGTCCATTTGTGTAGGTTTTTTTTTCACTTTTCAAGGAGTGGGGGTCTCCTGCCCGGCTGCCTGGCGGGGCCAGAACAGCCAACGGAGGCCCCAGGTGCCCGTGTCCCAGGCCTGGCTGCTGAGTCGGGTCCCGACTCCCTGTCCCCTGCACTGTGGCCGAGACGCCACAGATGCCGTAGCTCAAGGCAGGATGCCCTTCCCCTCCCTCCTGTTCCCTCCTCTCTGTCTTCCTCCTCCTCAGTAGAGGACAGAGTGACAATGCTCCTGGTGAACTGTGGTGACCAAGAGCTGGGGACAGGTAGATACGTGCCGACGAATCTCAACGTTGCTTAGTCACAAAATGAATTAAAAAATTAGGTTTGTGTGCTGCCCTCCAAAAAAATGTGTCACCCAGTGTTGTTTTAATTCGCTTTACACTCTTCTACCCACAGGGAATGTTCATCGTCATTATCAGCATAAAGTTACTTTTATTTATGAAAATGGCTCCTTGAGGACCAGGCCTGTGGGTTTGCACATCTTCACTGGTCGGTGCAGTGAACGAGGAGTTTAGTGTTGAGCTGAAAGAACACGAACACTAAGGACTTAAAGCGAGTGAAGGCAAGGTTGTTTCTGAGCCTCGGACGGAAACCGTGTAACAGACGCGGTCTCCTGGTTGTGGGCTCCCTTGGGCCCTGGGGCCGCGCGAGGCCTGGTCGTGCTGGCTTCCCTCTCTGAGTGAAGCTGTGCTCTCCCGCCCACGCGAAGACCGCAGCTCTCCAGCGAGGGCTCCCACGAACAGAGAACTTGGGTGGGTGGAGTCTTTCCTAAGGGATGGAATATCCCACCACTTCCTACCCTGGTTTATGAGGATGACCTTTGTCTCGTGCTTTCCATGGGAGAGAGAATGTCTTATCCCCCAAATCACACACGACACAAGTAACTCGGGGGAACCCAACAAAACTGCTTCTTTTTTAAAAGATTTATTTATTTAGCTTCAGAGGGGAAGGGAAGAAGAGAGGGAGAGAAATATCAATGTGTGGTTGCCTCTCACGCATCCCCTGCTGGGAACTGGCCTGCGACCCCGGCATGTGCCCTGACTGGGAATCCAACCGTGATCCCCTGGTTCGCAGGCCCGTGCTCAATCCACTGAGCTACTCCAGCCAGGGCCAGAACCGCTTCTTTACTAGCCCGCGGAGCTCTCAGTCTGTCTAAGGTCGTGGAAAGGGGCAGAGCGAGAAGTGGAGCGTGGAAGGCGTGGAGCGTGGACCTGCGCCACGCCTTTCCTCCCGTTTCCCGGGCCCCTCCCCCCGGGGCAGGGCGGCTGCGTCCTGGCACTTGCAGCTTCGCTGGGCACGTCCGCGGGTGTGTGCCTCGGCCCTGCGGTGACGTGCACTTGTGTTCTCTCCGCAGAATGTCGCGTCGTGAAGTCCACTTCTTACACCAAAATAGCTTCGTCGTCCCGCAGGGGCGCCGCCAAGAGCCCGGGGCCGTCCCGGCGCAGCAAGTCGCCGGCCTCCACCAGCTCAGGTAAGGCCCCCCGGGCGGCTGGGAGGGACGCAGGATGGGCGGAGGGTCCGGCCGGCGTCCGGTCGGGGCTATAATTTTGGAACAAGGCAGTGTGGCCCGGGGGTGGGCGCGTTGGCTGTAAGACAAACCATCGAGCTCAGAAAACACACGTCCTGGCAACTCGGGACACCCAGATTTGCGAGATATTAATGTCCAGCACAGAAACTAATGGTTCAGGCTAAGGACCCCTCCCCCGACCAGAGGTGACGGTTAAAGCCCGCCTATCGCATGGGGTCCGGCTTAGGAGGAGTTCCCAGGGGGTGTTGCTGCCTCTCTGTGGAGGGCTGGTCCCCAGGAGGCTGTGGCGCTGGGGACAGTGAGAACAGCGAGGCCCCAGGCAGGGACAGCTGCGGGGACTTGGCCTGCGTCCTGTCTCCTTCCGGGGCTCCAGCGCCGGTGTCCAGGGAACCCACAAGATGACCCCTAGGGCCCACCTTTTCCTTCCGTGGTCTTGACATGGACATGAGTGAGTCAGGTCATTTTCGTTCTTGTCTTTGTGGGGGTTTGGACTCGGTGTAAGGTCCATTTCGTTGTTAACTGTTTACTAAACGATCTAACTGTGCAGGGGGTCATTAAATGACGCTCACATCAGGGTGAATGTCCCCTGGTTTCATGAGGACGGTGAGGCTCTCAGGAGCAAGGACCTTGAGGGCCTGTGCAGAGGCCGAGGTCCCCGGAGGGATGGGACAAGGCGTGGGGACGTTCTCCTGGGGGGGGGGGGAGAGCACCAGGCCCAACTCAGGCTCCGCAGCCGGTGCTGGGCTTTGCCTGCAGCGTCAGGGCTGCGAGGGCTGTCACCTGTGTTTTCTAAGAGTGAGGGACACTGAAACCACCACAGTGAGCCCCAGGGGTGGAAGTCTCAGCAGGCTGGGGCCCAGAGCGCGCAGCCCACCCGGCTCTCTCAGGGCGGGCTTCTCCTCGGGGCTGCACTGGGCCCCTGGACGGTCCCCAAAGACCACCTTCTTCTGGGATGCTCACTCTAAGGGTGACAGCGATGGCTTCCCGCTGCCCCCTGCTCACAGCACGGCCTACGTCACCATCGTCCCGGGACTCGGTCTTGGAGCATGTCTGTGACTCAAGGTGTCACCCCTCTTAGTGTGAGGGCGGGCAGAGCGCTCCCCCCTTAATGACATCCTGGTAAGTGGCATGAATGTCACTTAGTGACTCGGTCAGGATCGTCCTCTGATCACCCCTTGGCCTCATGCTGACCAAGGCCAGAGAGCTGTGCTTTAGCGAGTGTTTCCGATGATTCCGACCAGATCCTCCGTGGCCTGCAAGGTCCCCCCAGAAGGTGTCCAGCCATGTCATATGAAAAGTGGGGACATTTACTGAGCAAGATAGGAGATACAGGCAACATTGTACTTGGGACAATGATACCTCAGTCCCCCTCAGAGTAGACACCCGGGCACCCCACACAGTTCTCCCAGTTGCCATCAGCTGCCCCGTCGTATTTTCCTGAATCTCATGGATGGTCTGAAATCTCTTCCCTTTCAAAGGTGATTTTAGTTTTGGGAAAAGCCAGAAACCACAGGGCACCCAATCCGGGCTGTAGGGGGCTGAGTCACCTGAGTGATTTGGTGTTTTGCCCAAAAAACTCTGCTTGAGATGTGATGCGTGAGCAGGTACCTTGTGGTGATGAAGCTGCCGATCACCAGATGCCCACGGCTGCGGCTGTTCATTAACCAGCCGACAGGTAAAAACGGGGCTCTTTGGAGGATGTGCAGCCTGGGTCAGAGAACATTCCTCACGTTCTCCGAGCACAGAGCCTGCAGGGTGAGCTCCCACGGGCAGCGGGAGAAGGCGGTGAGGAGCGTAGTCAGCCGTCACCCCCAACCCCTGACTGTTTAGCACAGTCACAGAGGGGCGTGGAGGGGCCGCGTGGACAGAAATGTCCTGGATACTGCTAAAGGTCAGCACAGTAATGTAGGTCCTAACCCAACCAGCTCCGACACTGACACACTCGCCTTAATCTCTCTGCTCTTCTTTGTCTGGTCTGTACCAGGGATTCTAGAGCAGCAGGTGCAGTGGGTGAGGGGCAAACACCTCGCAGTGAGCGGCCGGCCACACTGTGTCTTCTCCAGTTTAGAGGATGCAAGAGACTCAGCGTGCACTCTGGCTACTAAGTTTATGTCATTGTTTTTAATGGGATTTTCGTAAGAGCTGTAGGCTGTTAGGTGCTGCTGCATTGGAGGGGAGTCTTCTCGGTTTCTGTCCCTGTCAATCAAGGGAGGGAGGCGCCCGGTCAGGCTACCGTTTACTGTGCAGGGTCAGGGGATGGCATTCGGAGACCTGGGGCAGTTACCGTCCCTGCTGAGGTGTCCGCGTGGCTGCGAGCACAGGGCCTGCCCTTTCAGCCTGTCTGAGCGCGGCAGCCAGTATCGAACGGGGGGGACACAGAGGGACGAATGGGGGAGAGAAGTTCTGCAACTTAAAAATTGCCTTGTGAATGGTAAAGAGCCTGTGGGACTCCAAAAAAGGAATCTAAAATTTGAGTTAAAATAGAAAGAATCATGAATCTAATGTTAAAAGACTTAAAAATGAATACAGAAAATTATTTCACTTTAAAATTAACTGGTAACATAGTGACTGTTTGGCATCTCTGAGATTACATAAGTCTCATAAATATAGTCTATTTAATTATAAACTTATAAATATAGATGAATGTATCATTTACCAAAAGTAATTTTGGAAACTCAGAAGGAAAACTGATAGGCAAATATATTACATGCATTTGCATGTGTTACTGCCGACATTTGGAACTATTGGTTTTTAGAGGTTTAAAATGGATAAGTCACACTACCAAAAAAATCAAAGGATTGCTTCCAACAATCATTTCTATTTTCTGCTGTTTTCCTGGAGCCCTTTTCAACTCTTCACCAGAGTCGAACTTGGTCACCCTGGTCGGTTTGGCCCTCACTCACCGGGGACTGTGGCGGGGGCACCAAGCCAGGTGGTCTTTCCAGAGAGAGTGGACTCTGAGTTGGCATGTTCTGGAAAAGGTAGCACTTGGTTCAAGGCCTCCACAGCTGCCAGGTCAGAACGCACCCAGCGGCCCTGATCCCGTCTGCTTCGTGCGACTCTCTCGCGCAGATGAAACTTTCGGCGTCTTGCATTGTGATCCAGAAGGTGCGCCCCACCACCCTGTCCTGGTGTTCACCCTGTGCGATGACCGTCTGTCAGTTCCGACTTGCTGCCAAACCTGACCCCCTTCCTCCGGATGATTCGCAACAATTCAGAGAGCGTGGTACCCCGACCCGGGGCAGTGCCAGTCCGAAGACACGGGTTCTGCGATGGCCCCGAGACGGCCTCCTGTCCGGGGGCCTGCGCCCCGGGTTGAGGCGGTTCTGGGTTGTGTCTGTGTTTTCCCTGGGCTGGCGTGGCTGCCGCTGTGGCCCCGTCCACCAAGCCAGCCGGGACTCCTCTCTGCGCTCGGTGCGGCTCTCAGACCCAGTGGACGGGAGCCGTGGGCGCTCTCTAATTTGACTGCATCAACGTTTTAAAAAAACAGCCCGTTCGGCGTTTCCCGTGAACACTGGAACTTGAATCATGTTGCTTCTATTCTTAGACACAGACATTGCCCCAAACCCCAACCGCCACTATGAACCTGACTTTTTAAGAACGAAGAGTCTTCATTTTCCCTCCTAAAATGCTGACTAGAGTTTGCAGTCACTTCTACTTCCGCTTTTCAACGTCCACTTCCAACGTCCACATCTTCCTACACGGTGCGGAGGGGGAGCCTCGTGTAAAGATGTGCCCAGGGCGCAGGCTCTGCTGTTACTCGTGACCCTGTGACCTGACCTTACATGAGACCTCAGAGCTTCTGTGAGCTTTTATCTTCGATCTCTTTCGATTTTCCCAACAATCTCCCAACGACATCGCCACGTGTTGCAAGATCACGCAGCTTGTTTTTAGAGATGGGGAAGCAGAGGCCGGCCTGTGGGGGCAGGTCGGCCGGAGTCACAGAGTTCGCAGGGGCCACTCAGAGCCAGCTTGCGGGGCTCCGAGCGACCGTCCTGACCCCTGGCCTTCACCTCTGCGTGTTATGGTTCTGATGCCCCGTAAATAGCTAGCACAGCCCCTGGCTGAAGATCGCAGTTCACAACACTTAGCCACGGAGGCCTGAGAGTTAGTGCCAGGCGCCAGCACTGGTGGGTGAAAGGGTTCACCCACTGCCCGATGTGTCTCAGCGGTAGGCAGAACGTTTCCTGTGTAAGTCCGTCCTAGAGTGCGAAGGAGAACCTTCTGTAAATCTTCTCTGTCCCCTGCCCTTTCCTCCTCTTGGGATGGAAGGAAGTTACAGGTGACTCATTAGCGTGGGAGGTCACTGACACACTCAGGAACGCCAGGCCCAGCTCGGCCAGCGCTGGACTGCTGCAGGGCGCTCACCGCGCGCAGGTGGAAGGGGCCGGCGCTGCCCCTCAGTGATTTACAGATTTCAACGCTCACACAGCTGTTGAACCAGTACTAGTCTCCGTACCAGACAGACCCCAAAGAAGGCACTGGAGCTGGAAGAAAAGAGAAACCGGGAGCCCGAGTAACACGCACAAAACCAAGGAGCCCCGGACGGCTGTGTGCGGGGCCGGGGAGTGAGGCTTCGTGGAGAGTGGGCGGTGGTCTCGGCTGCTTCCCGGGGGAAACAGGACCGCGTTAGAACATCGCGAAGAGCATTTCATGTGGGTCGAATCTTTGCTTGTGTGTGTGTTTTCTTTGGAATACAGATGTCTCATAAAATGTATAATTTAAAAGTGAAATTCTTTTACATTTTTTTAAATATCTGTACGAGCAACTTATAACACAGCGTCTTCAAAATAGGAGTACTACATGCACTAATTTGTTTTAAATAAGAACATGGGAAGTTTGATTTGCTTTATATTTTTTAATGTTAAAAATATAGGGAAACCATGTTTATCTATCTTAAATTTTTATTGCTGCAATCCTCCTTAAAACATACAGATTTTGGAGTTTTGACCACTTTTCGGATCTTGTTGCAGAATGTTGTGGGGGTTTTGTTTGTTTGTTTTGGAGTTTTTATTCTCACTTAGATGGACGGCTGACTGCTTGTCATAGAAGGATGCCTTCCACTGAGAATCTCCCTCTCCAGAAGCTGTGGAACACACAGCTGAGCACCCACGGGCCCCTCACACCCAGCGGTGCCAGCCTGGGCCTGTGGAAGTCCTTGCCCTCTGGGGCCACGGTCTCAGGCACACACGCGTGTTGGCAACAGTCGCTCGTGCATTCACTGTGCGCAGAGCACCGCCCATGGTGGGGGATGCCGGGAGCTGGGGGCTGGAGGGTGCACCTGCCCGGAGTGGAAGCAGGTGCCTCCGTGTATGACCTTCTCCCAGACCCTCCCTTCCTCCCCAGGCTGAAAACGCACGTGTGTGTGACTCTGGAAATGCTGAGGTCTTTTTATTGACCACATTCGAACTTTACTTTTTTACACCAAAATATTTTAGGCAACATATGCAGATAACACAAGAATCAGACCTGGGGGGAGCAGAGGATTTTAACGAGCTTACTAGTCCGATGCATCTGACTTTTAGTTTCCATCGAGTGCCTTCAAAGGCAGGTTGCTGGCTATTCACTTTCAGCTCAGCCCTTTCCTTCCTTCCGCAGCTCACCCGTTCTCTGGAGGATTCGTTCTGCTTCGGGGTTTCAGGGAAATTGTAGAAAACCAGATGCATCAAGAAAGTCAAAAGGGCTGAGGACTCCTGCCTTGGGTTTTTTAGCGTTTTTTTAAAGCCCAGGCCCCCTTCTATTCTCTCTCCCTGCGCTCCGCCCTCAGCAGGGAGAATCTCCAAGGACGCTCTCCAAACCCGGTCCATTCTCTTGGCCCACGGTCTACAAGGCGCACTGTGAACCCTTCCCTGTTCCCGCCTGAGTGCCCGCCCTGTTCTGGGCGTCTGTTCGCTCCCAGAGGCACGGAGGCAGTTAAGCCACAGGTGGTTTCCAGTCGGGAGACGAAGCTGGTAGCATTTGTGATAGAGTTGTGTGACGGCCACCCAGAGGAAGAGGGGTTCGACCTCATCCCTGGGGTCAGGGCACTGCCAAGAGAGGAGGACCCGCCCCCGGGGATGCGCAGGGTCTTGAGGTGATCAGAAGGGCCGGGAGGATCTTGAGGACACGGCGGGAGGTGAGGCAGGACGGCGCGAAAGGGCATTTAAGGAACGGTTGCTCGTCCACAAAAATGAGGGACAGACGAGGAAAGGGCCGGAGCAGACCGGCTCGTTTGGCCGGTCCAGTGGCGCAGGGCAGGGAGGAGGGTTTCTGGATCCTGAGGTGGTCCCGCTGCTTATCACTCTGCGCCTCAGTTTCCTCATCTGTGAAATGATACTGCCTGTCGTACAGAGCCATCGAGAGAGTTAAAGGAGATATAAGTGAGCCATATATGTACACACGGTGTCAGTATGCTAACAGCACCACAGACATAAACTCTTCTTAAAAGTAATTAATTAATGAATTTTTAGAGAGAGGGGAAGGGAGGGAGAAAGAGAGGGAGAGAAACACCAGTGTGTGGTTGCCCCCTGCTAACCCCCTACTGGGGACCTGGCCCTCAACCCAGGCCTGTGCCCTGACCGGGAATATAACCAGTGGCAGTTTAGTTTGCAGGCCGGCACCCAGTAAGCCACAGCAGCCAGGGTGAAAAATAAGTTCTTCAATAAACTGAGATGCACGCAGAATGAATACTTACTAAAAGCCAGCATTTTGTCGTTTTATTCTGCTTTTTTAAGCACGGTGTTTCTAAGGTCGTTTCCCCAGGATCCACTTTCTGCTTTGTCCGCCCCCCCACTGGCTTGATAAGATCAGAGTCCCCAAAGTCTATAAACCTTGTCGGTGCCGAGTCTGCCCCCTCTTTCCCGATCCGGCGCTGCCGTTGGGTGTGATGAAAAGATGCGGAGAAGGCGGCGTAGAAAACCCTGTCTTCACAAAACCTGTTTCTCGGTGCGTTCCTAGGGACCTCTTGCTTATCGGTTTGTGAGTTGGGGTCCATGCCGTGCCCCCGCCCGTGGGCCCCCGCCTGCCTCTGAGCCGGGCCGGCCCACAGAGGGGCAGCGACCAGCTGGCTGGGAAGCCCAGGGGCAGAAGCCGGAGCCCAAGCTCAGGACAGACAAGGAGCAAGCAAATCGAAGCATACGCAGCGCTTCCTGCTTCCAGCTGGCAGACGAAAAAAGAAAAAAAGGGTTTTTTTTAATCACCAAATGCATTTCAAAGGCAAAGCAACACATTAGTGCAGCGTGGGCCATTTAAAAAAGATCTTTGCAGAGGACAGAACAAAGCGCTTCCTGTGTTGGGGCCGAGGATTCCGTGCAACCCCCGTGTTAAAAAATCAGTCCGCGTCGTCCCCTGGCTCCGCGTGTTGTAAGGATGCCTGTAGTGCCCGCAGACACCGGGCTGTACCAGAGTGCGTGTCACGGGGAGTTTCCGGTGCGTCAGTGGGTCTCTGCCCCCCCAGAGGCACTGGGTTATGATTCAGCGCGAAGTCCTGGAACAGGGCTCGGGCTTCCGGGGCCAGCGCTGTGGGAGGGGCCCCGGGGGCTCCCACGTTGGCACGAGGACGACACCTTCGGTGCAGCCCGAGACAGCGCCCGCACCTCCCACCGCTGCTGGGAGACGTCAGCCCTTACGCAGACAAGGCATCTGCTGGTGAGCCCTGCTTCCCTCCCCGCCGCCCGGGAGCCGCCTGAGCCGTCCCTGACTAATCCCCGCGCACCCCACTTCCTCGGGTGCTCGGCTCAGAGCTGAGAAGGGACTCGCCTCTTGCTGTTGTCAGGTCCAACCCTGAGGCTGTGTCCATGTTAGAGCTCATAGAAGGTAAGTTCAATGCCTTCCTGCCCCCGCTTTGGGGAGGGAGCGACTGTGCACCCTCGGGAATGTGCGTGTCCCTGCCAGTTCTGTCTCACCGACTGCGGGTGTGGAACGTGTAAAAGTCACCTTTAGGGGTGAAAGAGTGGTGACCTTACGGAGCTTCATTAAGTGATGTCTTTAAGTGTTTGGGATGTTACTCGGGGAAAATAATTGCTTACTCGGGTTCTGTGGCTTGGATTCAGGTTAGTGATCATGTTGTAGAGAAGTGTACTCCGTCCCGTCGGGCAAAATCCCAGTGATGTAAACCCGTCGGAGAGCAGCTTTTATTTGTCCACAGTGGTAGACGCGTTTCGGCCAGTCACTCTGTCCTGTGAAAGGCAGGTCCTGCAAGAGCTGAGGTGGGAGCAGGAACTTCTAGGAGCGAGTTGTCACCTGTGAAATGACAGGGATTAGCTCAGTCGCTGGGCATGCCACTCATCAGCTGCGCTAACGCTCACTCCTACCGGAGGCACAGGGCGGCTGAATAAAGAATGAGGGCTGGAGCCCAGGGGACACGCCCAGGGCCCAGACCGCACTCCCCACGCCCCTACTGGCACAGCTAAAGGCATCAGTAATCAATGCATCAGGGGAGCTGTGAAACGTACATTAAAAATGTTTTAGGAAACCTGCTGCCACCTTAAACACGGGGTTGACGAAGCAGCCAGTCTGTGCAGCAGGTCACTTGCTGGAGCCCTTTCTCGGGGCCACAGATGCCAAGGTGTCTGGGGTTTCAGCCAGCCTTCCTCCAGTTACTTATCTCTCAGAGAAGCAGGCCTGTCCAAAGCTGCTTTAACGTGCCACTGTCCTGTCTCTGATCCTTTGTCCTTCCAGTGAATGGGACCCCTGGCAGTCAGCTGTCCACTCCGCGCTCGGGCAAGTCGCCAAGTCCGTCGCCGACCAGCCCGGGAAGCCTTCGGAAGCAGAGGGTAAGGAAGCTGAGCTCCTTGCTTCAGCCCCGCACGGGCCTCGGTGTGGAGTGGCCCAGGTGCCCGCAAAATGCTCGCTCCTCTCAGTGCTCCTGTCTCTGAGACAGGAGGGGGTCACCAGGCGACTGAGGGAGGGTGGGAGGTGACAGCCGGCGGGTCCCTCATGACGGCCCTGGTTTCTCTTAGCTGGACCTCAGGGCTTTTCCTCGCTCTGTAAACGGTCCCAGTCTCACCTCTGAGAGGAGTGAGCAGTTGCTGCCGCGCTTGGTGACGCCCTGAGCTTTTTGTCCTGAATCACAAAGACTCGCCCGCCCAGGTCTTTGTGAGCTTCCTTGGTTGTGACAAGCTCCCTGAGACGTGACCCTTGGTCCTCAGCCTGTCTTAAGGAGCGGGGAGGGCAGGCCAGGCTCGGGGGTCTGCCGCTGGCATGGTCACTGGGGCAGGCAGAGTGGTCTCAGGGACCGGAGCAGGGGAGGGGCCCCAGGCTGCGGGTTCTTGTGAGTGAAACCCACACGGAGCACCTTGTTCTTCATCACTATCTGCGTTGAGTGTTTAGCTTCTGGGGTAATGATGGAGAAGTTGATTGAACTTGGAGGTCAAAAGTCAAAGTTACTGGAAACAGCGTTAGCTCCTCTCTGCGAGGAAGGGGAAGGGACACACTGCTGTTTTCGTCCCCTCGGCCACCTGCACTGCTTGTCTTTTCCAACAAAACTGGAGCAAGACTAAAAGGAGGGAGGGGGCGGGCAGGGACAGTGGAGGAAAGGGGGGGCCTCTCGTCCTGCACCCCAGCAGGGTGGGGAGGCACGCAGGCCGGTAGGGGCTTCAGGGTGGTGCTCGCTGCCTATCAGAGGACGGGAGGACCCCTTGGAGGCTCTGCGCCTCGGAGACTAGACTCTCGAATTTGGCTTCTTTTACTGAGTGCCATAAAATGAGGCTTCTGAGTTCCACACATTCAAATGGTAACCAAGACGGGCGCCCCTCTGTTCAAGCCTCTCCCCGAGGCTGTGGGCACAGCACCTTTGGAGGCGGGGGTGGTGGCCCGCAGGGCCCCCTTCCCCCAGAGCCTGGCTCACACAGTCGGGTGGGTTTGTCTTTGCTCCTGGCATCGGGCTGAGCTGGTTTCCGTTGTTGGGTGGGGCCCGGGTTTGGCAGCAGCAACTCAGCTCCAGTGGCTGTGTCATCTCAGATAAGTGTCACCTCCCTGTGCTCTAGTGGGAAGAAGAAAAGGGCAGCGAGGGGCTCTTTCCAGAGGGGAGCCAGTGACGCTGTTTCAGTTCCGTCTCGGGGCCTGCACGGCAGTGCCCTTCTTGGCCGTTTTAAAGGGCAGGAGTCCTTGGCAAACTCCTCAAAGAAGGCTCGGCCAGCTGAACGTCGCCTCCTAAGGCAATGTCTGTGCGCAGGGCGGAGGGGGTGGTAGGCCGATGCGTTTTGGGTAACTGCTCCCCAGCTGGGGCCCTTCTCTGGGAACAGCTACGAGACACAGTCCAGGAAAGGCCCCCTCTCGGGAACCCCCCCTCTTTTGAAGTGTAAACTCTGGAGATGACAGCTGGCAGAGACTCCTCTTCAGCCTCTGAGCCCTTGAGCTCAGATTCGGGGTGTAGCTCCTGCTCAGTGGCTGAGATGACCGCCGAGTGACAGAGGGTCCCTGCCCCAGGCCCCAGGTCCCTGCCTTCTCTCCCCGTGGGCGGACTGTGCAGAGCGTCATCAGTACGGTCGTCCCAGACATCCTTCCTTGTGTCATTTAAAGCAACGATGCAAACGCCCTACCTGAGAGGGAAAACAGTCCCCTTTGTCCTAGAGAAGGAAAGGATCTGTCATCGTCTGAAAACATTTATTAAGCACGTGTTGTGAGCGGAGCGCTGATGGCCCGAGAGGCTCGGCGCCCAGGGGTCTGGATGCAGGGCAGGAATGAGCGAACCCCCCCCACTCCGTTCGTGTCCCGAGTCCAAGTCCGGGGATGGGTGCGTCCCAGCGGCTCGAGCAGCATCCGCTTTCATCTCCGTGTGCAGTCGGCGCATCCCGGCCCCTCCGCGCGAAGGTGGCCCTGTCCCCCCGGAACCCGATCCCAGTCCAAGTTTGGCTAAAGCTTCTTCCCACATGGTTGGCTGGATGCCTGTGCAGGAAACCCTGGAATAAGAGAAAGATGGCAAGTGCTAAAAGAAGACATTTCAACGAATATATTAACTCTTTTTATTGCAAACTGGAAAAACAGTAGCTACTTCTATTTTTCCCCTCTCTGTTGCCTAGCAACATGGCCAGGAAAATTACTTGGCTCTCCCCTCAAACACACACACACACACACACACACACACACACACACACACCCCCTCATCCTACCTGGTTTTAAAATACAAGAACATAAGTCGGGCTTTTTTTAAGGAATGTTTAGACATTTGATCTCTTTCTTCACAAAGAAGAAAATCTATATTTTCATTTGTATTCATTAAGATAATGGGACCAGCTTTTTCCCTTCCCTTAAAATCATTTTTCTGTGGCATCTATTTTTGGTAGTTTAGAACAGTGATGTACAGTGAAAGTCTGCATGCCTGCGAGTTTTCTTTATAAAAGTGTTTGTGGAGATGCACCAAGACACCTCCCCGTTTTTACAGAAAAGTCGTTTAAATCGCTGTCTAGAAGAAGCTGACTGGTCACAGAGGCCGGGTTGGAGGGTTCTTTCTGTCAGCGGACTTTTCCAGGTCCCACGATGTGTCAGAGGAAATGTGTGGGTTGGGGGAGGCCCCCCTTATCCTCCCCCACCGCTGACTTCGGTAGAGTCTCCCATCACTCAGATGAAGTGAGGAGTGGGTGGTACCCGACAGGAGAGAAGCCAGGATTCTAGACACTGCAGATCTGAGCTGGTTGCCTGGAGACCAACAGGGAGGCCTCCTGCCAGCAAGGGATGGGGGTGGGGGACTGGAGAAGAATGTGAGGAAGGGGGCGCAGATCACGTCTGCATTCTCTCTGTCTTTCCAACAAAAACTTTGAAATGCCATTGGGTTCATGCGACAGGCAAATACAACACTGGAGTTGCTGCTCTGGGACCAGAGTTTGGGGAAGGCCAGCTGGGGTCCTAATAAGTGGCTTTGTGAGGGAGGCACAGCCCTCTTGTGCCCAGCATGGGAGGGTGATGTCCCAGGAAGAACAGAGAGGCAGACACAGAGAGGCAGAGCTGGTCTTGACAGACCTCAGGGGCTGTCAACTCCACTGGACGCAAAAGCGAAAGCCCACGAGCAGATTGAGTCGATAAGGCACAGGAAGCACTGTTTTGGCTCTTCAGCTGTTTTCTCCATTCCTGTCTTCCCTCTCATCCCAATGGGGTGACTCCAAAAGGGGCAGTGACATCAGACAGTGCGTGTGCTCGTTCCGTGTTGCTCAGCCCTAAGCCGCAGGGCGCCCGGAGAGCCGAGTAAACCGATCTGTACGCCCTTCATCTTTCAGGACCGCCCCCTCTCGCCGGATGATTTGGACTCAGTGGGAGACTCAGTGTAAACGAGACCTGCAGCAATGTGTCTGGTTTGTGACTGGGTGACGGTCTCCCATTTTCTAAGCAAACACCTAACCACCAGCCACACAAAAGAGTTTTGCATACTTTGAAATTAGGAAGCCCAAATCGTTTAAAAGTAAATATACAGGCCTTTAAAAAATATCTGTGACGTTAATCCCGGAGGGAGTTTTTCCTTTGATATCTCCTCCGTTGTTTGATTGGAGAAGCCTGAACCTGAACTTGCTCCTTGGCTGTGGTTTTCGCGGATGGACCCAGAGTGGAGTGTGAGAGCTAATGGCTGCCGATGGGCAATGCAGAGTCATCATTTCTGTAGCCGGGGCTTTCGTTTTAATCATGAGTAGACACGTAGATGCTGTTTTTCTGTGCGTCCAGTCCACCAGATCACAATGGCCCGAAACACATTTTTTCTTCAAGTTAAATTCTTTCTAAAATTTGGATTGCTGATTTTTAAAGGGCACTTTTATTGCCCCATAGTTAAAATATTCCAGTGGACGGTTTCCTTCCTAGTGAGTAGACAGAGCTGTTTCTCATTCTGTGGGTTAACAGGGTGGAGGAAAACCACACACGCTGAAGGGGCACCTCAGAAGATTTGAACGTCAGGGATTAGGCAATTGCCTTGTTTGTGTCATCGAGCAAATTTAATTAAAAAATTTTTTATTGGAAACAGCTTAAATATAGCTTACACTGAATACTGACACGAAGAACTACAAATTATATCATTCCTCTCGCAGCCAAACATGTCATTTTTCAAACCGGTCAAGCCCGAAGCCAGGAGACTCTGTTTTGCGCACAGGCCTGAAAAACCACTGTGCCTGGACATCTCCCAAAAAATCAGTTTGAAAAGCAAAATTCTTTTCAGCGGAAATGTGCAAAGGAGGCCTGAAGCACCCGGGTCCCCGTTCCAATAAATCCTGGAGCGTGCTGGTGTTTTGGAAAGTTTCGTGTGCAAAACTCCTTTTGTGTTGAAGCAAGTCTATGATTATAACTGCTGTTAACATTAACACACTAATTCTGCTCTTCTGGTCCTCTCTTTAAAAATTATGGTCCGCTTTGCTTAAACATAAAGTAATTATTTTGAATCCAAACGTTCGATGACTCGAGTGTGTATGGTCGGTCGTAGTTACGCCACCTCCCAGCGATCCTTTAGTTTCACTGGCGCAGACGCTAACCGAGCAAGACTGGGAAGCAGGGTTCTGGCAATTCTGGCTGTATCTCAGCAGGTGATAAATGGAAAAATGCACGATGCCATTTGCAGGCTTTTACTTGAGTTTTTTCCAAATTTCACTTGAAAAATGAGTTTTAAAACAAAACGTTTGATTCAAGATGGAGAGCAATTCAGTTGTCATATTAGTGTTTCAAATGTTAGCAATTGGACTTCTTGATAAATTGCTCAACGATCACATTGTACCATCTGGTTTATACTTATTACATATGTTACCTTCTCACTCTCCAAGTGAGTAAAATATTTCAACCAAAAGAAGGAGGGGGGAAAAGT